GTATAAATTAAATTTCTTCTTCTCATTATAAATTTTCAAAATTTGAATTTGATACCAAGTCCCAAGTACTATTAGCAATGAGCACATTAAGTTCTTCTGTCATGATTGTACGCCAAATTAAATTTTTGTTTGCCTTGTAAAAAACAAGTGGGATCATTTGAGAGAGCTAGAGTATTTCAAATAAAAATAGTTTAGGTTTAAAATTTTCTTTTGTAGCTCTACTGCGCATGGGATGAATATTAGGAGCCATCCGGGCAGGTGAAGGCGGTGAGGGTGTTGATGTCATAGAGGAAGGCAGTGGGCTAGAGATTGCCGGCGGACTGGATGATAAGGACGGTGTAGGGGAACGGCCGACGGACTGGTCGATGGCGGGTGTGGCAGTAGGTGAAAAGGGATATGATCATGAGAGTGGATGATGAGGAGAATTCTGGGAAGGGCTGGCTGGGACGGAATCTGGCTAGGAGGATGACAGCAGTACGTCGGCACTGACTGGGATAACTGGCCGAAGATAGTGGACTGCCGGAGGTGATGTCGACGGTGTATCACTCATGTGGGTGGGAGACCAAGGCTGGAGGTAAAGGAAGGTAGAGAGTTTTGGGATGGTTGTGTAGGCACAGTAGGATAGGAAAAACAGTTTCATAAAAAATAACATCTCTGCTTATGTAAACACGATCTGTCTGGTGATCAAGACAACGATAGTCTTTGTATCCCAGTGCATAACTTAGAAAAACACAAAGACTGAATCGAGGGGAAAGTTTATTTGAGGAACCAGCAATAATGTTACGAAAACAAACATAACCAAAAACACGTTGAAACCCACAACGAGGAGATTTATGAAAAAGTTTTTAAAAGGAGACAATCCAAAAAAGGAGAAAGATGAGCATCATCAACATTGTACGAGTTAATTCCAGTAAATGTTTGTATCTACGGACTCACCACCTCCATCACTCTGAAAATACTTGATTTTACAATTAAATAAATTCTCTACTAATTTTTGAAAAATGCAAAAATGGAGAAACACTTCAGATTTCATGTGCATGAGATAAACCCAAGTGAAGCGAGAAAAATAATCAATAAACAAGACACAATATTTAAAACGTAAATTAGAAAGCACAAATGATTGTCAAACATCAACGTGAATGAGTTGTAAAGGAGTAGTAAATTCATGAACAACATCGTGAAAAGGAAGACGATGAGACTTGCCCAGTGTACACAAAACACAATCATGAGAAAACATGCTAGAAGGGTTGGTGGGTGTAGTCCAATGGATGACCATCCACCCCCTAGTCTCTCTTTTGCAGGGTCGATCCTAAGAGTTTTTTGGTCTGAGTCAAGCCGTAAGAAAAGGCCCTCAAGATTTTTTGGGGAGGAAAGTTCATGTCCGGAATTCCGGAGAGGAACCGCCATCCGGACGGCGGCGTTTGGGCGCCTTCCCGATGAAATTTTTTGATGAAATTTTTATTTCATGTTTTTCATCAAGTCTAGTTTATACACAAAAAATGTCAGCTAAAAATTCGATCGGGAAGGCAGTCAAATAGTTTTTTAAAGAACTGGGCCAAAATATACACATAAAACGCAGTTAACTTCCAAAAATTATTTGACGGTCTTCCCGGTTGAGTTTTAAGCTGAATTTGTTTGTGGATAAACTAGACTTGATAAGGAACATGCTATAAAAATTTCATCAAAAAATTTCACAGAAAAGGCGGCCAAAGACGGTATTTCATGTCCGGAGTTCCGGACATGAACTTTCCTCTATATAAAGATAACTAATAAATTTTTGGGGCCCTAATTTTTTCCCCAAATTTGTGGGCCTGAGGCAGTTGCCTCTTTGCCTCACGTAGAGGTTCGGCCCTGCTCTTTTGTGAGAGGTCTTGGGTTCAATTCCCACCAAGGGGAGATGAGGGAGGTTTTGCTCCCAATGATTCTTCCTACCTTCACGGAGTTGCTTAGCGGCTGAGAAGGAAGAGGATGATAATGAAGGTAGCGGATTCGTGTGGTGGTAGGAGCAGCCTAAAAGGTGATGTAAATCCTGCTAGATTCGTCCTTTGGAGCTAGTACTGACGAGGCTGACTGTGATCAGATTTGGATTTAACTGTCTAGGGACTTTGGAGGGTAGTTCATAGACTCCCGGATTATGGGAGCGTAAGTCCCGACACCTGGATTATCAAAAAAAGAGAGAAAACATGCTAGAACTAGTTATTGATATGTTTTTTTCCTAAGAAAAGACAAAATACAATCCCCACAATGACCAAGAAGTTTGTACCAGACTAGACCAGGAACAAGTGTTGTCTTCAAAGCAAAAGATGAGGGTTGCTGATGAGTTGTTGTAAAATGGTAGATACAGTCTTTATTGGAGGCTCGGAGTAGGATGACCCTGTGTGGTTGTCTTAACACAAAAAAGTCACTTTGCTCGAACAATTTGTTTGAACCAACCTGGTCCTTGGAGGAAAATTATGGGACTCGGGACCTATATTTCCAATTTCATATCTGATCCAATCTCAATGAAAGTCCTGGTTTCTAAAGTTTTTTGTAGTAGTATTTTTTAAATCTGCATCCCCCTCTCATCCCTTTTAATCTTTTAAATGTAGTTCTACCCATTTAAAAATGCTCCGCAATAGGTCGAATAAAAAAAATTGAGATCCAAAAAGTCAGGCCCAGGACCGAGACCACACAGGGTAATATCGATCTCAAATATTCAGGCCCAAGATAGAGATCTCTTTTCACTCGTTCGATTTCAATCCCCACAAGAACTGCAATCCCAATTCAGACCGGGATCTTGTGCACCTCTACTCACAACAGAAATAAAATGGCCTGCACTCAATTGTTGTGCACATCAAACATGTTGATTTGTAAGCATCATAATAACCGTCGGTCACACTTTCAAAAGTTATAAGAAATAATTGCAAAAGTATTACTAGTGGAGTTTTGATTGACAAAAATATGACCATTTTGGATCTGGACACAAAACTAGTCATTTTTATTCCGTCTTTTCTCTCTCATTTCCGCATCTCCCTGCGCATCTCTTCCCAGGCTCCCAGCTCATCTCTTCACAGCACACTATTCTGGCTGTGCCAAATCGCCGGCATCTCGAATGTGGCCTGCATCTCCATCTCGAGCAGTCGCCGCCTCTGTTGAAGAGATTCGCCAACGCCGACTCATCGCAGGTCGGAAAAATCGTCCCGCACCGCCACCGGATGTTCACACCTTCGCCCTATGCCGCCATCGCAGGTCCACAACATCGCCACGCGCCACGCCATAGAAGCTCTGACGCTCGCCTTCGTTTTCATCCCTTTCTGTCTCACGTCGGGGATGGAGAATCAGAGGAGATAGGCTAGATTATTGAAGATCTGGATGGATTACCAGATCTGAGATGGAGATTAGCAAACCACCAAACCAGATCTCAAGATGGTGGTGACTAGGATGAGGTGGCGGTGATCAGAGCTGGGTTGGGCTGTCAAAGGTAGGGTTGGGAAGGGGTGGGTTGGAGCTGGGCTGTTCGTAACCAGAGCCGGGGGTGGGGTAGGGGAGCAGGACAGTGGAGCAGGGGAGGGGTGCTGGGGAACTGGTGCTTAGGGCTAGGTGCAGGTCAAGGGCGGTGGTGAGGTTTCCAGGGCGGTGGTGGTGGGTTAGGCTGTGGCTGGGGGAGGGGGCTGAGAGCTGTGGACTGGAGGGGAGAAGGAGAGGGGCTGGGGGGTATGGGGCGTAGGCTGTTTTGCCCACAAAGGCGGTGTCTTGTGACGGGTGGCGATTTGGATGTATAAATTTTCACCGGGAAAATCGCCGGAAAGTTTTTCCGGTGAGCAAAGTGACATGTTTTACCGATAGTGACATCTGTTAAGTGACACGAAATTGATAGTGACATCTCTTAAGTGACACGAAAATTGGCAGTGATTTCATGTTTTCCAAAAATATGACCTTCTTAGTCACTTTTTTGTCCTCATACAAAGATGGTCACATTTTTGGAAATTGGTTAAAATTTAGTAATATCCAAGGCAAAACCCCAAGTTATAAATATAGATTTACTATAAAATATATTTACTCCCTCCATCCCATGATAAATATTTTGCTTTCTTGTTTAATTGTCCCAAAAATACATGTTTTATCTCCATTTTAGAAAAAATGTGTTCATATATATTTTACTCATATCAATCACAATATTTACTTCTCAATCATCTTGAAAAAGTAACTGTCAATTTCAAGCAAGATAATATTAACAAGATAATTGAAAATTGCTTTACTCCCTTATCAGTTGTCTATGTTCTTTATTAGTTGTCTCGTACTTATTGTTGGATGTTTTTTATTTTAGTATGTTTTTTCAATCCAAATACCTTTTAACCCCTCACTTTTATTACCGTTACTTTTTTTATTTTTACAAATTACTTTTTTTCCTTACTTTTTCATTACTTTATAATATATTTTCTTTTCTACTTTTTCATTTACCCTTTATCCTCTATATATTACTTCTAGTTTCTTCTTAAGACTAGCAAGAAATCTGAGGGGGCAATTAATAAAGAACAGAGATGGTATATATGTTAAGTGCAATTAATCATAACTTGCTCAAGTGAATTTGCATTTTAAATGTATTATTACATTGCATGCCACAAAACGAGTTGTCAATTTGACGAATATAAGGTGATAATGACCTACATGGCTACATGCATTTTTCACTAGCAAAAAAAAAAACTCAAAACAGATGTGCATTTTGAAGTTCAACGTATCTTGCAGGTCACAATTAAAGAATACCATGATTTGTAGAGTGCTTTATTTACAAGATCTACAGAACGGGATGGTTTAAAAGTAATATAGAATGAATATTTTGCACTGGGCTTATGAAATAAAAATATAACTTGGCATTATAAGTCGAGTCTTTCATTCTACATTGAGCGACTTGCAGATGGAACGACTTCTTGAGAAGAGATGTCAGCGGGTGCAGAAAGAGGCTGGAAATTTGTGTTTCCTACAAACCAATAGAGCACCCATTTCAGGTTACAGAGGGTGTACTTGAGAGCTTTGGTCCAATTCTCCTGTTTGTTAAAGCTTTGGGTGATTGAGCAATTTTCTACTTTGTCACTCTCAATCCTGCACGAGAACAATGAGATACACAGGACAATTAATCCCCCACAAATATTGGCATGTCTTGCAAGGAATGGAACCCCAACAGTTTTTTAGCATTTAATGGGACACAAAATAATGATGTTTTGCAACCAAGTGCAATTCATAAGTGAAAATACACACACTGACAATGCCACTCCTTAAAGAAGAAAATGAAACAAATTTAAGGCGGAGAATGTGATGATGTAATATAATTAGTAGTAACCATATATTTAATATTTCTAGTATTTATTATATGAAAACACATATCTTTGTACTTCGAGATCTTATAGAAACTTACTTGTAGGGAAGCTTAAAACATTTGTCAGAAGGAATATTGTTCTCTCTATCTTTCCCATTTGCAAAATCAGCGAAGTCCTTGAGGCAATTCAAAAACAAGGTCATAGCTTTGTCATAGCGCGTACTCCAGAACAAGTTTACAGGACCAAAGCTTCAAAAAAGTGGGAAAGTCGTTAGTTTGTTAGAATCAATGCAAACAATATATATATCAAAACGTCAAAATCTGGAACAAGCCGGAGGTTTCCAGAAAAGTATGGGAAAGGGTTGCCAATTCAATATAATTACACGAAAAATCAGTAATATAAAACCAAAGGAAAGCGTACTAAAAATTATATCAGGTGCAAAAGAATTCAAATGGAATTCAAACAAACACAACTTGTTACAGGTTTATGATGACAACATTTCTAAGACAATCTTTGCCAAAAACAGGCATGATCAAAAACATAATTGTTATTTGTTGGAAATGCAATAAATAAAAATAAAAACCTCTGTAGACCTTTTCTACAATAGTATTCTTGTAATCCAGTTATCTTTATTTATTTTTACTTACAGCTCATAAGTATTGTTGCTGGTATCCATGATCCGAGGATAGCTTCCCATTGGAAGAATTTTTATCCGATATCTAAGTACAAATGGTTAATAAGATTATATTTTCTTAAAAAGGATACACTTGCAGAAATGCTAACCAACAGAAACAATGCATGATTCAGAAAAAAAATATACGGAAACTTAGGTCGGAAATATTGAGCCATGGTATGGAGAAGTAAACAAGCTTGGCCCCATGCAGCATTTATCTCATCCCACTCAACCTAGTCATTTTCATTAAAAACGAAAAATGATCAATAAATATAAATCCAGTGGAATGAAAAAAATCATTTAGACATTGAGCACTTGTCATTAAGTCCACCTTTTCCAAGAAATTAGACAAGCAGTTAGACATAAAAAAATGCAGAGCACCAAATATACCAAACAATATAATTTCATCCAAGGTTTCATGGGTCAAATATTTTGCAATACATATCCAGATTAATTCAAACATAAGTGAGATTTTTCTAAAAGACAGCATTTAATTGAGTCTGGAAAAGATAAATTAGTCATTAAACTAATCTACCAGAGAAAACTTGAAAAATTCCATGCAAGTCTTGAAGAGCATACTGGAATTTTAGGAAGTCTTCCCAAGCGGAAGTTGTTAATTGTTCCGAATTCCCCATCATGTCCAATCGGGAAGGCATCATTAAGTACATTTGTCCGCTTCAACAACTCCAAATGAGCTTGTGAGACTTCAGTTTTAGCCAAAATTGCATCTCTCTCTTCCTGTTGACAAAATTGTAATTCTTAAAACGTACACAACGGCAATATGGAAAGCAGTTTCTTAAATTATTTAGTCTAGTTACTAGTGGCATTAATGGATTTAACAGCAAGTACACATGTGTCAGGATTTTAACCATCACCTAATTACTAAAATATGTGAAACACTATATCCACTAATATTAGGTACTATATTAAGAATATGGAAAACAATGAGTTAAGGACGAGTTATAACTAGTACTTGGTTAGTTACTTATTAGAGAAACCTGATGGGAAATCAATTGAAACTGAAAGTTGTTGAATTCTTGCCAATACCTGAGATGACAAGATTATGTGAAACATAAGTCTAACAGATTCAAAACAAATGAAAAGTCATACCTAAACCAATAAAGAAAAATATAAGCAAAATAGCAAATTAACCAAATTATATCTAGTCAAAAGAATATCTAAATAAAGCTTTTAAAAGATTACTTTTCCTCCAATTCCTTAAAGCGTCCAGATTTGAGTTCAAGTTCCTTTAGCTCAGCTGTAACATCAGTACATTGCTTCTCTGTTTCTTCTATTGCAGCTTCAAGTTGTTGTTCTTCCTCTTCTATCTTGAGCAGCATCAAAGCATAATTTTATTTAATCTATACACACAAACACATATACATATACATATACACATACATATAAAGGAAAAAGGGGCAAATAAACCCATGTACTAACTCAAAAAGGTCAAATAAGCCCTTATATAGGAGGCTCTGTCCGGCCGTCGCCATTTGGGGCAGTTCCCGGTGGAGTTTTTTGATGATTTTTTTTGAGAATCTTATTCATCAAGTCTAGTTTACTCATACCAAATTTCAGCTAAAACTTCAATTGGGAAGGCATTCAAATGAATTCTTGAAGATAACTGCGCAGTTATCTTCAAGAATTTATTTGAATGCCTTCCCAATTGAATTGTTAGCTGAAATTTGGTATGAGTAAACTAGACTTAATGGATAATATGCTCAAAAAATTGCATCAAAAATTTCCACCGGGAACCGCCCCAAATGAAGAAGGCCGAACATAGCCTCCTATATAAGGGCTTATTTGACCTTTTTTTGTTAGTTAGTGGGCTTATTTGCCCCTTTTTCCTACATATAAATACACACTTATATACTTGTATGTATATCAAGCTTAATGAAAATTTTAGCACAATATGACCAAATCGTGTTTTCACCACATACTTCTATAGTCAGTGTGGTGGACAAAGGTGTGTTCATGCAAATATAGCAAAATCTGTCCCATTGAAAATGTTTCCATACCATTTGTATTTCCTATGACTTACCTAATGAGTTCTCATTTTATATGATATTATTTGGACAAAGTCCTCCAGTAATCAAGAAAAAGTGAAAAAATAAAGTGTTGTGTGTGCTAAAAGATGTTCTTTAGGTTGCATTAAATTTGCATAGTTATGTGAAAACATATATATAAGTACTACGTATTAGAAAAAGCAATCCGATTGAATATCTTTCCATTCCCTGCAATTCATGATTCTCATGATTTAGCTCATCCGTTTTTCTCATTTTAGTGATACAATTTTGACAAAATCCTACAGTTACCATAAGAGAAAAAATGATAATGATGTGCATGCTAAAACATGTACTTCAGGTTGCACTGCACTTGATTTTTTTGTTAAAAAGAGTATAAAACTACGGAGACAGAGAAAAAGGGCTGAAGGATTGTTATGGATCAAGCACCTTAATCTTCTCCTTCAAAAAATCTGCCTCAGTAAGAACATTTCTTGCCTCACCCTCCACTCTCTGAAGACATGCTTCATATGCTTTTATGTCCCTGTTAACATCTTCAACCTCCTTATCAAGTTTATCAGATAATACCCTCATGCATTCAAGACATAAAGGCTGTTCAATCTGTGTTTGTTTGGTGGCAATATCAAATGCACGCTTAAGAAGCGTGATAGTTGAATGGAAGCCCGAATTGTTTTGGTGTAAAATGGTGGGATCATCGTCTTCTTCTGGGGAATGATGATTAGTCCCATTTCCTCCATCTGATGATGCAATTGCATACTGATGATAAACTGAAGCTGCTGGTGGAGGCAAGACTACAAAAGACTCCTCCATGGCTGCCTTCCCACCAAACTGGCTTGAATCAGGGGGGTGATTGGCAGTTATACCTCGAGTGGGAGGAGGAAACGCCTGTCCATGATGATTCCTTTGCTTGGGTAACACAACAAATGAATTCTCCATACGTACAGAAGTACCCTGCATAGCTGCCACGAGACCAATTCAAAGTAGAGCATCAATTTCAGTTTAAAACATGATGAAGTAGAAACTGTTATGAAAGGAAAGAGGCACTAAGCAACTCAAAGGCCAAAGGGGTCTCATGTATCATATGAGGCAGGGAAATATAAACAATAGTATATGTGTATTACAAGGCTAATAGCAAAAAAACATAAACAATGTTCATTAAGTGCAAGCAAATGTGAAACTATTATTAAGATCGGTCATCTAACAAGGGTTTACCGGAGCGGGATGGGGAGAATGAGGAGTCACTGGCAAAGAACTTGTCGGCATAAGAATCAACCCCAACTATGCAAAGGGAATTATGGCAGTTCTGACAGAGGTACCGGGGAAGATTAGGGTCAACGGGCAAAGTTCGACTCTTATCCGCACCGAAGGAGTTGTTGCTGTTTTTCTTCATTGCCGTGATACCTTCTTGAGATATTGAAGAATCCGGGGAATTTTAAGCGCTTTCAGTTTAATAACTGGACACAATCACAGGTGGTATCACATCTGAGTATGAAACAAATATCAAAGAAATGGGGTGGGTAGCATAACCAGACCTGAACCAATCACATAATCTCAAAGAAATGGGTGGAGATTATGGGATTCACAGTATCAAGATACAGTTGATTTTGTTTAAGTGATGTTCTACAAATTTTATTTAATCAATATTACATACCTGACCGTGAAGGGCATGAACCTGAGACTTGTCCTTCACTCGTTCGATGGCCGTGTTTTCAAATGAACTGTGGATTTGTCCACTTCATCGACCAGGAATCAGGATACCAGGAGAGGTAAGGAGCTGACTGTTAAAAGAAGATTAGGGAGCAAGGGCTTAGCCAGGATGACAGTTCATGGAGGGGCGGTTATGAATTAAAAACAATACGTAAAAAATGTAACTGAGTAAACAGTTCAAACATAATGATTAAAATGCAGTAAATTTATAATAACATTTTGAAGCAGCACATACAATATATGAAACTAAAACGTTAGGTGGATGCTTTTTCCCATCTTCCTAGATCCCACTCAATTTTAATTGCATTCGAAATGAATCCCTCTAGAAAGGATGAAATATTTGGAGTATCAATCAAGCCTTTAAACTATTGTAAGTTTGATGTACTTGTAGCAGGCTTAAAAAGAAAAATGCAAAGTTGTTTTTGAGTTCTAAGAAGCAGATTGTGCAGTCATACGACTCATACCTACTTAAATTGAAAAAATTTAATGAAACAATCAACATTTTATGTTCGATCACATGATTCGTATTAATATTTATATGTTAACAAATTTATAATCCCTAATTTTCACTTCCACAAATGAAATCACACAATTAATCCACCTATTCAAAAAATCATACAACAAATTCACATTTTACAAAATCATATTAGTAACACAAAACATTCAAAGATATAATAGATGAATGTGATGAATATATTATAAATTAAAAAGATTGTAATACTTAAATTGAAATTTAAAAAAAATAAGCAACTTACCTACGGCAGTACGACTGGCAGACCAGAGAGCCTGAGACCGCCGACTGGAAGTGGCGCAGCCACGCAGGCGAGTGGACGGAGTGGGCGACGCAGTTATCCGGTCAGCTGGACGAGTAGGCGGGCAGCAGGGCACTCGGGGCAGACGCAGGCGTTCTATGTGACCTTGCCCAGTTCAGGAAGAAAAAGCACTAACGAATGTTTTCTTCTTGTTGCCTTGTTGGTTTTGGCCGTTTGGCACTTCTATCTGATTTTTTCAAGATTTAGTCTGAATTTCTTCATAACTATAAAATATGGTTTGAAATGGTTGAATTGACCGATTTTATTGATTTGTTCAAAAATTAAATTAGTATTTTAAAAAAATTATTAATAAAATAAAGAAAAATTATATGTAAAACAGCTAAAAGGGGCTAGAATGATCTTCTAGAGTAACTTCAGTCAATATAGCCAGAAAAGTAACTTCAATCTTACTATTTCTTATTGTTACACAATGCAGCACATAAAACCAAAAGTTCTGTATTTAGTGCAAAAACTGGTCGATAATATTTATGATCTGATTTTAATCATTTTTAATTAATCTGAATTTTTTGGTAAACAATTAATCTGAATTTTCTAATCTGATTTGATTTAAATATTTTTGATATGAGTGTTTATTTTTGTTGACGAAATTTAAATTCAACTACGAAAGCTAATCTACGAGAAATAAGGTATTTAGGAGGGATATCTGTATACACAACTTTTATGGTAAGTGACGTAAGTCAAGGACAAACTTGTGACAATAATAAACCATTGTCGAATTAACTATTTTTCCGTATCTGTGAGTGAAAATGCTCTTTCTAAGTAAAAAAAAAAAGTTTTCATCACATCTTTAATAACTCATCACGTTAAGTGAATTCAACAAATTAATTCATTTAAGCATGTAAAGTAACTTTTGTTAATCTCCGTAGTCAAATCAAAATGAAAATAAATGTAACTTCAGGTATACTCCCTCCGTTTCTGAAACAAGTTCCATCTTTCTTTTTCGGGCAGATTCAAAATTAAGTTCCACTTTCAAACATTTCCTTATTTGGCAAATTATCTACATCAAAACAGTGTCAAACAGTGTTCAAACAGTGCCAAACAGTGCACTCCACAGTAAAGTCAAATTTATTTTCTTAATATGTGTGAAGTCAGATGTGGAACCTGTTTCAGAAACGGAGGGAGTAGTACGTATTAGCTATTAGAATTTGACACGATAATTAAAGGAATAAGAGTAATTGAGTAGTTTGTATTTCTAAAGGAACGATTTATCAAAACGGTAAAGTGTAAAAAAACTTAATTATGATTATTATTTTTCTGCACTATTCATTATTTTTATTATCTTTCCCCTGCTCTCTAAAATATTGCGTAAAAACTTACTCCGTATTATAACAAGTATTTCTAAAGTTACTTTCAATTTTACATTTATTATTAAAATAAAATTTATTTATAAAATATGATTAATAGTTAATACTTCGTAGTGTCACAATAACTTAAGTTTTAATATTGAACACAACAAGTTACTATAATTTCTCTATAAAAAAATCACTATAATTTCATTGTTGCTCTAATCACGTTTTTGTAAATAATTTTTATTTTAGTAATATACTTCGTAGGTAATTAATTAGAATTTGAAAATGAATATCTCATTCAAACTGGCAGGCGTAGTCCAAGTGATAACGAGGGAGTGACACAAGGGTTAGGTTCCAGATTCAAATCCCACAAACTGTGATGATAGGCGACTATGCTAAATGGGATATTCATTTTAGTATCGGGGAGTGACACAAGGGTTAGGCCTCTGCAAGTATCGGGGACAAAGTCTCACTCTCTATCTGTCAGATTGAATTATAGTCCAATTTACCTCTTCTAAATGTACCGTCCAGTCAGGATTGAGATTATAATCCAATTTACCTCAATCTCAATGTACCGTCAGATCGGGGTTGAGGTTTATTATTGGGGTCTGATGGAGTATATGGCCCGAGAACCCCCGGCCCACAGACTCCTACTACTCCAGCAAAGGTCCAACAGGCCCAGAAGGCTCAACAGGCCCAAATCACAGCGCCCAGAGTACCAAGCAGCCCGCACTACGCGCCAGGGGTGCCTTCGGCCACCTGGCCGAAGGCTCTAAACTCTTACAGAACGGGGTCTTCAAGCGAACTAAGAAACTGAGAGAAAACGGCAAAAACAGTAGCCCTCGGCATCAGGAGCCCTCGGTACCAGGGTGCCATCAGTTTGAGGAGCCCTCGGCTGCTGCCCTATAGCCGAAGGCACCTCTCCCGACATGATATCCGCCTCACATGCGTACAGATCACCGTACCATGTACAGACGTCCCATCCAACAGCCGCATTAAATGCGGCCACATGCGGCTGCCTACGCCAACCAGTTGAGGTGACCTATCGGCCAATGGGCGCTTGACACATGTCCCTGTCCGACATTTATTGCTACTATAAATAGCACCCCATTTCCCCATTTGTAACCACGACATTCAGACTGAATACACTCTCTCTCTTACTTACTTTTGCTCTGACTTCTCTCTAAGTTATTCCCAGCGATAACCATTCGGATATATACCCCCGGGTAGACTATCCATCAGGGTCTATGAGCTGTCATCTTTTTTTTTTTGAATATCCCATTCCATTCGGGGTAGCAAACTACGAAGCTTCGGCCTTCGGACTTGTAAATAAGTTACTGTACTACACCGTCTACACGTACGTAATACAGTAGTTAGTATTCATTAATCAATGATTCAGTCATACCAAAACGGGCTTAAAATCCGAGAGCAAATTGTTTATAGAGCTGTCGTTGATCAATCAATCCCTAATCAGTACACCTACCCGCCCCAACAAACGCTGGCAGCTACCTACCTACTTTGCCCCCTCCTTTGACATCTCCATTTGCTACTCCCTGTACTGCGCAAGAACAAGGAACGCACATATACATTCTTTCTCTATAAATAAAGCACCCCAGAATCATGTTTCCCTTTTCTCTTCTTCCTCCATTCTTCCTAGGAAACTCGCATTTTCTCCCCCCCGGCGATCTTGCCGGCTCTCCGACCGCCATTGTTGCAGGTAAGTCTTCCCTCATCTCCTATCTCAGCTCACTACCCGCCAAGGTCGCTCTTTTTTATTGGGATTGCCCAGTACTGATTTAGATCTGATTTAGGCACTTCATATGGGGCGATAAGATTTTCATAAACTCTTTGTTCTTGAATCTTTTATTTTTGGGTCAGAAGGTGTGCTTATTTATGACCTCCCTTCCTTTTCCCTCACTCTTTCGGATCTTGTAGTATTATCCTTCTGATTTACATTCTTTAAAGTTGAATACTTGTGCAGCTTATTTTGAACTTCGAAGCTTCAAAGATGGAAACTTTTTTATTCTCGGATTTTGTATGGGTTGTATTCCATTTTTAGATTTTATTTGCATTACCTTCTTCGTAAGCTTTAGTTGATCCAACAATCATGTCAAAAGCATTTTCAATTACTTATATCACGGATGATGATTGATTTTCTTAATATGGTATTATTATAATTGTGGTAGTTAAGTGATTTCTGTTTATCTTCGGATTAGACCACAAAGATGGAAGCTTTCCTTTCCTTTTACTGGTCGTCATTCTTATGAGTTCCCTACTGATGTTATCTCCGTACTACTTGTTATTATTGTTAAACCCATATATGGATTAAGCCATAAAGATTGAATCTTTCCTTGTCAAAGAGTTTCTCCATTCATTCTTGAACTTTCATGCTTCAAAGAAGAAAACTTTTTTATTCTCAAATTTTGTAAATGTTGTATTCCAATTTCTTATTTATTTGCATCACCTTCTTCATAACCTTCAGCTGAACCAATAATCCTGTCAAAATAATCAGTCAATTACTTGTATTGTGGATGGTAATTTATTTTGTAAATATGGGTATATATTACTGAGTATAATTATGGCAGTTTAATAATAACTGACTTCAGTTTATCTTCGGATTAGACCACAAAGACTGAAGCTTTCCTTTTTAACTGGACACTATCCTTATGATTCCTCCACTAATTCTTTCTAACTATTTATTTTTTTGTTAAAACCATGTTTGGATTAGGTCATAAAGATGGAATCTTTGCTCGTCAAAGACTCTGTCCACTGTTTCTTTCCCTTTATTACTATTTTTTGTTAGTACTTAATGATCTCAGCTCTGTCTATTAGTTTTATACTTTTATATATACATTACTAGTCGATTTGGATGATTTGGTTCAAACTATTTGGTCAACTCATAATACCCTTATATTTCATGCTGGGAGTTTGACTAAACATGTTTAGCACTTCTGTTCATTATTGTGTATAGCCCTTTGTTTTCTCTCTCATGAAGTGTTGCCGAAGTATTTCCACCTCAGCCAAATATAAAATAATAAATCATAGGATTGCAATTTGAGTTTCTATGTATTGTATAAAAATTATATTCCTAGGGGATAATGTTTTTTGCAATAATATTAGATTATCCGTAAGCATTGCACAAGCTCTCTCAGATGAATATGGATGGTCACATTACTAAAGAGTTTGGACTGAAGAATGTAAGCTCCCACTGCTCCATCTCAGAGATGGATGACTATGACCTCTCAAAGCTTCTTGACAAGCCAAGGCTGAACATAGAGAGGCAGAGATCCTTTGATGAGAGATCACTGAGTGAAATGTCCATTGGCCTTGCTAGAGGTTTGGATAACTATGAAATGTCTTATTCCCCCAGCAGGTCAGGCCTGGACACCCCAGTTTCATCAACCCGGAACTCATTTGAGCCTCATCCAATGGTTGCCGAGGCATGGGATTCTCTACGCCGATCATTGGTTTATTTTAGAGGCCAACCAGTTGGTACAATCGCTGCCAATGAGCATGGTGAAGAAGAAGTCCTAAATTATGATCAGGTCTGTTTTATTTGTTAGTCAATTAGATCTTATATAATTTGATGTTTTTCTATTTCAAATGTTGTATCCCTTCATGCCAATTTGAGAAAGTCGGTGTTTATTTACTTGTAGTCAACCCTATCAAGATACAAGCATTTTTTCAATTTATGAAAGGTCACTCTACCCCAAAATAGGTCTTGAAACTGGCCTCTTTTTATGTTTTATGGGGACAGGAAATGACTCGTTTAATGGGGGCAAAAGTACCTTGAAAAAGTGTTACTTTTAGAAAGAGTGCTGGAAACCCATTTTGAAGTGCGCCATTAATTTAAAGGCACTATTAGTTCCTCACTCATTATGCA